AACGCCAAGCACTGAAATGCGCCAGTCCTCTGCTTTGGTGGCGCAGTGAACGCACACCTGGACATCGCTCTTCAGGGTTAGATGTCCATCAAGGCTCTTCTCGCAAGCCAACACTTGGCAGATGTCTGGGGGGGCAGAATCATCATCTAGCTCTTTCAACTCTAAGAGCGCTGCCTGGATAGGTTTTTTCCTTGTAGAGTAAGCAACGGCCACATGGTACGGAAGAGCTGTTGGCGACCTAAACTCTAACACCAATGGCTCCTCTGAAAGAGCAGTTGGTTTGGGACCCTTTCGTAGAATCACTTCAAGGAAAAAGGCATGCAACCGCTGGAAATACGCAAAGGCTTGCGGGGTCAAAAAATGTGGGCAGGAATCTGGACGGCACACAGGCCACAGCGGCGCCCGCAGCAAAGGAGCGCCGTCCATGCTGTCTGGACTTTCAGGCCGCAAACTGCGGCTGAAGCTTGTAAATTCTGTGCCCGTGAACCTGGCCTGAGGCCGAATAAACCTGGCCTGAGGCCAACGCCAACATGAATTGAGTGTTCAGTTGCCTGCGTCATCAGCAGACATGAACCCCTCAGAGGCATCACTATATGATGCCTCTATGCGGGAGCGCAGGGGGCTGAAACGCTCACAAAAGAAGTAGCACACAGTGCACCAGCCAATCAGCGCAAACACACATAGAGCTGCAAACCATGGCGTCTCCAAGCAAATGCACTTGCACATTGCAAAAGCATAGCGGTGGTCATGAAAACACATTGGATTGAAATCCTGAATGTCCAGTGTGGGAACATACCTGACCTCTTCTGCCATGGAAGAAAACACATCCTGTCATGGTTCTAATACCCTTCTTGGACCAGAGTCTAGAAGCGGTAGCACAGCAGCAACAAAACACACAAATGCAAACAACTTTCAATAAATTGTTTCCACAAAAGAAAACAATTAAAACAATTGTCAGAACAATTGTTGAAACAATTTCCAACCTCAAAAGAATATTTCGCTTGTTTTTTTGGCGTCCCCATCACCGGAGGTTTGAAAACATTTAACGAGTAAGGTTTCCTCGTTCTGGATGAGCTCTTTCAGCTGCAAGCTGAAATTATCCAAGCAACAATCCCTCTCACCAAAGAATTGGCGCGCCTTTTCTTGTTGGAGTTCCGGGCTCAAAGCTGGCAACTCGGCCAGTGGCCATGGGTAGCGGCCCCAAGGCTCAAGAAGCTTCCGCCAAAGCTGGCCCAAAATTGTTAGAAGACAACGCCTGGTTGTGCGCAATCTTTCTGCTCTCCAAGTCAGCACAGGACCATAAAGCCCAACCAGTGGAATCCAAGCTGGAACCTGGACAGTGTCTGCTGTTTCAAGAAGCAGGTCACACAGCTCCAAGCTGGCAGCACTTGCAACACTGCGAAAAGAAGCCGCCAACAATCGGAGCAAAGCAGCGCGGCTTTTGTGCCTGAAGCTCGGACCAGGCCCGTGGCCGCTCGGACGAGGCCTGTGGCCGCTCTGGGCACGTCTGGGCACACAAGGCCTGTGGCCACCCCCATATCGCCTAGCAATGTCAGCAAGCTGATCAGCATTCATCACTTCTTTGGCTCTTTGGGTGGGGTGAAATCCACTGGGCCCAACCTTTGCCTCTTAGCCTTAGGCTCTGGCGAGGGAGTGCCCAAGAAGTCACATTCGCAATCCCGAGCCAGTAGGTGTGTCCGTGCTGCATCACTTGGCTGCAGGTAGGGTGTAAACATGTCCATCAAGCAGAACCAACAATACAAGTATGTCATGGCAACGTTGCGGCGCGCTTGGGCTGTTGTGGCTTGAAAGCTTGGTGGCAGCATGGAGTGTTCAAATCGTTGAAGTGAAGAGGTTTTCAGAGGCGAGCAAACTGTTTACTAGCCTATGACTAAGGAACAAACTGTTTGAACAAACAAAAAGTCTACAGCAACTTTTTCTCAAGGTTCAATACATCATATGTTTCAAACAGTTTAACAATGTTGTATACAATGTTATAAACAATGTGTCGAACGAAAACAATGTTATAAACAAAGTTTTGAACAATGTAACAATGTTATAAACAATGCTTTAAACAATATAACAATCTTTTAAACAATGTAACAATGTTATAAACAATGTTTTAAACAATGTTTTAAACAATACAACAATGTTGTAAACAATGTTTTAAACAATATAACAATATTATAAACAATGTTTTAAACAATACAACAATGTTATAAACAATGTTTTAAACAATACAACAATATTATAAACAATGTTTGAAACAATATAACAATGTTATAAACAATGCTTTAAACAATTAAACAATTGCAAAAACAATGTAAGAATGTTTCGCTTGGTTTTCAAAGTGTTCCCGCCACAGTGGGTTCTGAGAACATCTAATCAGTACGCATTTCTATAAGTGTGCGCGTGTGTGTCTGCGTGAAACTCGTGGAGTCTCGGGGAACCTTACGGTCTTTAGTTTTGTCTGCAGGGGGGCTGGTTGTTCATGCAAGCACCAGCCCAAGGAAGAGGCTTGCATTGAACACTGATATCGGTGGGGGCGCTCACCCACGTGCCTGCTTCCTTTTTGAGCTGAAGGGCCAATGCACTCTGCAGTCACGCACTCATCGCCCGAGCCGTTCACGTTCAAGTCTTCAGAGCTTTGAGACTTTTGCCTCCTAAATACCAGCGATGGCTCCCAGAATGTTCAGACCACCTCACTTACCTCTTGCCGTGGTAGCGTGCATGTCATTTCCGTACGACATATCCCGAGTGTGTCTCCGCTTCGTGGGAGCCCGGAGTGTGCCCAACGAGTGCCCTCCGCGGCGTTTGTCTTTTCCCCTTGCTTGGGAACAGAGCAGTCCACAGCGGATGGAGTAGGCTTGTGCCAGAGCTACTGACGACCTGGATTGACTTTTGAGCAGGCTGAATGCCGAGACTAGTGACTAGCCCACAGCGGTCGTAGTTTTCTCCAGGCCCGGTGGGGCCGTCCTGACCTTAAGTGCACATACAGCGCGCACATTCTAAACTAGGCTAGGTCTGCCTAGGTTCTATTGATGAGGTTTGGGTTCGTTGTTTTCCGGCCCTTCCAATTGGTTCCCCTTACATCCTTTCCCTTTATACACACTCTTTTCTCTCTTGCGCATACATCGGTCCGGCCCTTAGTGTACACGCGCACTTGTAACCCAGGTTTGAGGCCGCCCAGGTTGCTAATAAGGAGGGTCACTCTCCATTGCAACCACACACACACACTCGGTCTGTCTTGTCCTCCTTTCATGTCTTCATCCTTTTGTCTGCTTTGCATGCACACACGCACATGAACTTGAAGCTTAGTTCTACTGTTGCCTCCCTTTACAGGAGGCATCTGTGTGAAACCCTTGGAGTCACAGGGAACCTTATGGTCTTTAGTTTTGTATGCAGGGAGGCTGGTTGTTCATGCAAGTACCAGCCCAACAAAGAGGCTTGCATAAAACACTCATATTGGTGGGGACGCTCACCGACCGACCTGCTTCCTTTTTGATCTGTTGCTCAAGCTGTGGCTCCACTTTTCCAGAGAGAGCGAATGCACTCTGCAGTCACGCACTCGTCGCTCGAGCCGTTCAAGTCTTCAGAGCTTTGAGACTTTGGCCTCCTAACTACAAGCGATGGCTCCCAGAGGCTGAAGTCAGCTAAAAAAGGCGCTCAAGTCAGCAAGAAACAAAGAAAAACGCAAGGCCATCTATGGCGCGTGCTCCAACTACACTGTAAACAACACAAAATGCCCGGAAAAGGCTGGCAATGTTATCAAGGCGATTGACCAACACTTCAAAACAACAAAGGTTGAACATTGAAAGCACTGATAATATTGTGACCGCACGGTGACCGCACGAACGATTAGGCTTTGCAAAACCGGCCAAATGTGCATTTCGAACGATGATGGTGCAAGGCGAACACCCAAAATGAATCTGGTGTTGCGAAATATCAGGATGATAATGACGTGACAATGACCGTGATGAGGTCAAGTAAATGACTACTGACTGGATCGACTAGCTAGCAAATTTGTTGTCTTTGCAAAACACAAGTATCTTTCTGAGAATCTCACCCAAGTCTATCTTGGTCACACCTTGGTGTGCACTCCTGCTCCCACGTGATGACATGGCGCAGAGATCTGAAGAGCTGTTGCTGAATTTGTTGAAGCCTTTCCGAACACAGTGTATATAATTAACTGCAAGATGGATGGGAAGGGCTCTCTTGGTGCGAAAATCTTTCAGTCAGAAACCTCATGCGTTTTGCAACCGCATGCTGCCTCGAAGGGAAGCAAAAAACATAGAGCACATCGATTGAAATATCATCAACAAGACTGCGGAACTTGGAAAAAAGGTTCATTCTGAAGCTTCAGTGGGCCAGGAATGCAAAAAGAAGGTAAAGCTGTTGCTGCTCATATCTATATAATCCAACTAAGTCGTAGGAGCAAAAGTCCAGATGATGGGCAAAATGCTCATGCGACAAGCAGTTCGTTTCGCATGAAGAGCACTTAAAATGCACGCTTGAATATGCAGGCGTTCTCGTGGCAACCAAGAACTGATGCACTGGCCAAAAGTCCATTAAGACTATTGCTGGTCTCCTCTTATGCATAAAACTTAGAACTTATATATAACAAAGAAATCAAATGCGTTTGCAGAGCTGCTTTTCTGCGAATGCTAGAAAGCACTGGTCTCTCCTCAGGCTTATCACTTTGAACTATACAACTTGTGATCAAAGCAAAAAGCCGGCAAGTCTATGCCATTTATGCCTCCTCGTGCACGCCCAGTGGCACGAGCAGCCAATATGAACATTGGATCTCCATCAGCACAAGGTCTCTGCACAGCTCGAACAGTGATTCTTGCACATTCTGTATCCGCATCCTACAAGAATAGAAACACAAATTACTTGACGAAATCGGTGTGGAGACTCCCCACGGTCTTGCATCGAATTCACCCTGAAGGCGCACTCCAGACGACTTGAGATACTTCACCCCGCACAAAAAAATGTGCCTGTCATTTTGACAGGCGCCTTTCAGCCGCCTCCAAAGCTACCTTCATTCGCCGTTGCCAACGAGGTGCGACAGAGGGTGCCTTCTTGTGAGCCCAGGGCTCCATGCGGGCCTCTGAACATGGCAAGGCTACTGCGAGGTCGATCCTTCTTCCTTCTTTCTTTCCTTTCTCTTTTTGGACCTTAGGCCTTTCTGCTTTCACTTGTCTATGTTCCCTTCTCACTCTCTTTCTGGTCGTTTCCTGTACCAAAAGATATGCACTTCCTTCGTTTCCTGCCGCATTGCATTTCTTCCCAAAACGGCATGTTGCACCCTGCCTCACTGACCCAAGCACCAGTGGATTCTCCAAGGAACTTCACAGCGTAGGGGTTAGAATCCTGGGATCCGAGGAGATTGTTCGGCACCAAGATCCCTTTGGACTTGCCAAGGCTATGCGAGCTGTGCAATAGTGCTTGCAAATCAAGGGAAAACATGCAAAGCCTCTGTTGACAGTTCTGAGTGTTATTGGCTCGATCCTGTGGGCCATCGAAGCCAAGGGCTGCCACTTCGGCTGGCCAACGTGGCCCAAAGCCACTGCACCAAACGAGGTCGTTCACAACAAAGCGAAGCCCACGCCTCAATAAGGTGGACTTCACAAGCCACTCTTGACTACTTTCAAAAGTCTCACTTGAGCTATGTTCAATACCTTTTGGCCAAGTCTGCAGTACACCTCTCGCACGACCTCGGCTTCGCATGTGTACTGCAGCCGTCTCAAAGGTAGCTGCACACCACATTAGCCAAAAAAGCGGGCTCAGCCTGACTCAGCCTCCAACTTGGGCGCGCATGAGCTGGGCCCACCACAAATATTGCACCTAGTACCCACAAGCTCAGCTCTGCGATGGCCCGTTCAGTTTATTTGAAAAATAGAGTTAACCAATTCTCAAAGAAGGTTACTTCCTTTGCCCAGAAGAGATGACATCAATTCAAATGAAGGCACACACGATCACTGCTATGATCTTTCGCTGCTCTTCCACATGCCTGCCCCGTTGGTGCCTGCGGTTGGATTCTGCTCTAAAGAGCAAAGCGCAACTGTTCAAAACACGTGTTCAAACTGCACGGAGATACCATTGAGCTTTGTTTCCCGTGCCTTGGATATGTCTGCATGTCTTCCCTTCTCGCAGCTGCTTGTTGACGGCTTCTGCTTGGTGCAGCGACCCGAAGGTTTCACCTCTCCCTCTGCCTGGGTCAATAAACCCAACACGGCCCACAGGCCTAGAGCCAACCAAAACTGGAAGAGGAAAACAAACACGTTCTTTCCTGACTGTGGCACCAAAGAAGTCGACACATGTGTGTCCTGAAACAATCTCAAACACAAGTGCCTGAGACCTCTTTGCATTCTCCTTCTTCGCCAAGTGTGTCTTCTCTGAAATCTTTGCTTTCTTCGCATTGGCGACCTGCAACCAACACACTGTCGATCGTAGGTTCAGGTGTCGTTCAGCCACAGAATCAAATTCTTGTCCATCCAGGATCCTTAAACCTGTGTTGCAATGGAGTCAGCACAGTCACAAAATGCTATAAACACTAAATGCTCAAGCAGGCCTCTTCCTCTTTCAAAGGTTTTTCCGAGAAAGGCATTTTGTTGAATCCTCGCTTGGACTTCGTCTTGCTTGCCGCCTGCTAATGCTGTTTTGCTGCCGTGGAATCACCGGTTGAGCTGTGACGGCCACAATTCAATGAGTCAACTTGCTGCAAAGGCACCAAGGTGGCCTCTGTCTTCTCCAATAGTTTCTTTGACATCGGCACTTTCTTTGATGTGCTTTTGTCGGCTGCCTGCAGACAAATCATTTGCTTGGAAGACATACGTATGAGAAAGCGTTTGCTTGTCTGACATTTCACTAAGAGAACTGGTTCCACCTTAAATTGTGTTGGTTGTCTGCATAATCAATGAAAACTAATTATATAACATGGTTGAAACTAGGCCACCCACAGCAAAGTCTTTTGACGCGTAATCTTCATGCGGAAAAATAACAAATGAATGCACTCAAAGAGAGTTAGCGTCCTTCACCACCTCCTTCCGACAAGATCTTTTCTCAGATCCTTTTGTTGAGTTCTTCAAGCTGGCTGCCTGCACTTGCGTAGTTGCCGCATCTCACTTGCAAGCATGATACAGAAACAAATTCATTGGCACCATGTCCGTCTGCAAATTGCACGCGGGAAAACTAATTGCGTCTTGATTTGCCTGCATGTCCAGGTTCAAAAGTCCTATTAAATTTATAATCATGCTGGGGACGGGTTCTTTGATCCTCCGGAACTGAACAGCAAACCTTCATTGCTTGTGGCACTCATACAACATTGTCAGTACCCCCTTCTGCAACAATGTTTTTTCCAGACGTTTTCTTGCACTTCTTCACCTTGGCTGCCTGCAATTGACTGTAGTTTGGCACATCTACATCTCGCTTGTGTTGACGCTACAAATTTGCTCAGTACTGCCTGTTGGCTGTGCTGAGATATTGTATGCGGTGAAGAGCAATCGGCTCACTAGTTTGAGACAAGCACAAGTTGGATTGGAGCTTGAATGCAGTGTTCACATGTACTGGCACTACCTGTCCAAATTTGTTTGATGGAGCTCACCAAGAGCAGCTGACTTCGGCCAATAGCAAGGCCAGATTCTTGAAGAGTTCCCAGGCGTTGATGGTTGAGAAAGTTCAACACATCGATCTCCACCCCTACTCCCAGGTTAACCCATGAAAAGGCTTTTCGGTAAGCAGACCCTGATTAAAGGCACTTGTTCCTTCACTCGAGTCTCACTACCCAGCTCTCTTGCCACCCTGGCTAGGAAGGTACCGGCGCTGTTAAGGCCCAGCGGATTCAGAATGGCATGTTGCAGTGGCAAAGGGAAAAAAGGTGAGAGGTCTGAGAGGTGTAGAGATTTCGGAAATACATGGAAAGTAGTGTGTCTCATTTCGTGTCTCATTTCGTCCCATTTTTTACACGGCCTTGAGGGGAGTTACAGCTTGCATGTGTATTTTTGGGATAAACGCCTAAACGCATCTAAACTACGCATGTATCGAAACCACACCACTCTTTGGTGAACAAAGTCTGCGCTGCGCAACCATTTTTCTCTCAGACATTATATAGTGCTTCTTGTTCGCTGGGCAGCCAACTTGGCGAGCGAATCCTTGAGATTGCCTCCGCGGTTGTACCAGCAAAAGCTCGACACATACATGTCTATTCGTTCAGAGTCGAGTTTGGAGGGCCTTGGGGCTGCCTTTGCACCCTCAGACCTTTCACACACTGGACACACCCAGCCACCCCACCCGCCACCCAACGCTGTTGAGGACACGATGTCAAAGACCAAGCAAAAAGGCAAGTGTCATAAAAACAACATAAGATTGCATTCTTGCCATCGGGTGGTTAACAGCGCAGGTAGCACAAACCAGGGTGGGGTGGATGACTCAAGTCGTAAACCCGTGCACCAATGTGTTGGCTCTAAATTCCCTCCACATTCTGCAGGAGGCTTGGCATTTGTTGTTGCAAGCTGAGGATAGGTGCTGAGAAGAGCAGCGTGAAAGGCTTCGCCGGGGAAGGCGCGTGCAAAGATTGAAGGCCGCTTGCCCATGACTTTGACCCCATTATATGAGGAGGATCGGCCGTGGGTGGTGATTTCAGCTTTCTGCGAGAAATCAAGAGTATCGGGATCGTGCAGTGATCCGCCCGGGCACAGACGTGTATTGCACGTGGATGTGGAAGAAAGCAAATGTCAAAAACTCGGAGCCAGTTTAGACGATCGATTAACATCTCACTTCCACTGT